TAAAAAAAAAAGTTATAGAAACTGATCACATTTACACATCACAGTGATTTCTAATTGCATATTTTATTGGTTAAGAGCTCTGATGGTGCAGTGGTTAAAGTATTTGGCTACTAACCAAAATGTTGGTGATTCGAACCCACCAGCCACTCTGTGGAAGAAAAATGAAGCAGTCTACTTCTGTAAAGATTTGCAGTCATGGAAACTCTATGGAGCAGTTCCACCCTGTCCTAAAGGGTTGCTATGAGTCAAAATCAACTTGATGGCAGTGGGTTTGATTTTTTTGTTTATCTGGTTGGTCAGTCATTCCATCTGCTTATGTGAGTTGTGGAGTCCTTGGGTAGTGCAGATGGTTAGGTTAAGTGACTACTAAGCAAAGGTAGGAGATTTGAATCTACCCAGAGGTGCCTCAGAGACAAGTCTGGGGACCTTCTTCCAAAAGGTCACAGCCTTGAAAACTCTGTGGAGAGCAGTTCCACTCTATACACATGGGATCTCCCTCCATGAGTCTGATTCTAGGGCAGCTCACACAGTGATGGGAGTTGTGTTGAGCTGGGTCTCTGACTTCTGGATATAATGTCATGCACACAGAGTTGGTTTGGTGCCTAATTCTGACCTCTGTAGCTCCTTGATCACTTTCCATGGACACAGGCCTAAATTAGTCCTGTTCATCTAATTTAACTTTGCACAAGGAACACATGCCAGGATTTCTAGATTTCTCACCCCAAGCTTTGTTACATAGAGAGGCCCTGGCTGGACAAAAATAATTTGCTTTGCCTCCTGTGTAACTTTAGGCCCTTGTCAAGTAGTGCCAGAGTAATGGAGCGAGGCACTCAGGTCTGAGGACTGCAGGTGTCAGGGCGACCAGCTAAGATCCTAAGGGACTGTCTTCTGAGGTGCCTCTGAGTGGATTCAATCCACGAACCACTGTGTTAACCGTCTCCTCCACTCAGAGAGCCTTCTCCTCTGGGAAGTCCCTAAAAATACTTGTGGAGAAATTAGAAAGATGCACTTGGGCTTTTCTTCAGTGTTTTCTTTAATGCTATTATACCAAACTAAAATATGAAAGTCCCCTGACTTCAGGTAAAATTATAAAGAAAAAGAGTAGTGATATATATTATGCACCTGTGACATGGCAGACATTCCTATGACTTTTTGTTCCATTAGGTTCTATCTAAGGAGCCCTGGTGAGTTAGCAGTTAAGAGCTCAACTGATAACCAAAAGATTGGTGTTTTGAATCCACCAGTCACTCTGAAGGAGGAAGATGTGGCAGTCAGTCTGCTCCCATAAAGATCTTCCCCTTCCCCCCCAAAAACCCAACCCCAACTCACTGCCATTGAGTCACTTCTGACTCATAGTGACCATCATTGGGTTTCCAAGGCTGTAAATCTTTGTGGAAGCAGACTGCCTCATCTTTCTTCCATGGCCCAGCTAGTGGATTCAAACTACTGACATTTTAGTTTGTAGCCAAATGCCTTAACCACCACACCACCAA